TTCTTCTTTGGGAGAAGGAGTCTTTTCCTTTGATGCCTTGGAAGCTGTGGGGCGACCCACTTTCCCTTTGCCTTTCACTGGACTCGGTGTCACTGAAAGAAGAAAAACAATTACAAGAGAAGAAAATGTCTTTAACAGAAATCAGCTACAAATGATAAGAAAATATGTAAATAACATTCCAACTTCCTCAAGTTAGCTGGACACTACAGTATACACATAAATCTCAGTTTCTAATCAGGTAATAATAAATTATTACAATTTACCGTAGTAGCTTCTGATCATTTTAATTTTTTTTTGGCCAGCTCAGCCTGCCCTGGGGGCAGGGCTGGCTTGGCATGTGGTGCTGGGGATCAAACCACGGTCCCTGCTTGCCTAAGGAGATGTTTTAGACAGCTAAGCCATCTCGTTGGTCCAAAATTTGGTTTGTTTAACTGATCCATAAAAACAAAACAAAAAGTTTAGCTGGATGTGGTGATCATTGTAATCTCAGTGACTTGGGAGGCTAAGGCAGAAGGATCAAAAGTTTAAGGACAAATGAAACAACTTAGTAAAGTCCTGCCTTAAAAACAAGAAAAAAGAAAAAATGGCTAGGGATGTAACAGCAGTGGTCGAGGCATAAGGCTCTAAATTAAATCCTAGGAGCTGGGGGGATGGCTCAGTAGAATAAGCGCTTCCCTGGCAAGCACAAGGGCCTGAGTTCAATCCCCAGTTCCACCAAAATAAATAAATAAATAAACAAACAAACAAATAAATAAATATCCTAGTTCACATTTATATATGGAGTACTCTGTGATATATCTCATTTAGCCAGTGCTTTCTTTTTTAGGTATTAGGGATTGGACCTATGGTCTTTGCAATTGAATTATAGCCCCATTTAAAAAAAAAAGGGCCAGGCAGATAGCTCAATGGAATAAGTGCTTCCCAGGCAAGCACAAGGGCCTGAGTGCAATCCCTGGTTCTGCCACCAAAAAAAAAAAAAAAAATTGTGACAGGTATTCACCGAATTGCTAAACTGCCCAGAATGGACTTGGAACATGTGATCCTCCTACCTCATCAGCCTTCCACAGTGCTGGGAATACAGGTGTGTGCCATCACAACATTGGTTTATTTTTTTTTTACTAACACTCTAATGTTATCAGCAATGCTTTATTTTTATTTAAATTTTTTAAACATGTATTTTAATTGGACTTGCAGTGATCCTCCTATTTTCAGCCTCCCTAACACTGGGATTATAGGTGTGCACCACCACCCTGACTCATTATTTTTAGTTTTCTTAGGAAGTACAATTTTATTGTATAACTTTTACATTTGTTGTAGATGTTGAAAGACATGGGAAAGACCTTTTGATCATTCATTCATTACTGTTAAATGCACTTGGATCATACTCAACTAGACTCAGGGTGTCCGGAATACTGTCTCCTTTGGAACCAAATTTTCTTTATTTTTGTGTGTGTGGCCTGCTCAGCCTACCCACGGGGTGGGGCTGGCACGGCATGTGGTGCTGGGGATTGAACCTCGGTCCCTGTGTGCTTGCCTAAGCAGGTACTTTAGACCACTGAGCTATCTCACCAGCCCCAGAAACAAATTTTAGCAAAATGTCATTTGGATTTCTTCAGAGCAGCTTTCCTTGTGGAGTGTTCTTGTGAACCCTCCTCCTGGAATCTAGACACAGTAAGCAGAATCACTCATTTCAGGAATCCATGATGTTTTTTTCCATTTCTTTTTTCTTTTTTTGGTGGAACTGGGGATTGAACTCAGGCCCTTTACTGAGCCATCTCTCCAGCCCCTCCATTTCTTGCATGTTAAAGCTCTTTATTTTACTCTGAGCACTTTTTTTTGCACACAAGGTGTAACCAAGCAAGTCAGTGCTGTGAAGCTGCAGGGTATTCTGTTGCTAAAGTGAGAGACTGCTTGTAAGAACAGGAAGTCTAGCAAATCTGTTACTTTTGATGTTTTTCATAGAATGACTTGGGTTTATACTTGAAAGTTATTAATCTGTTGAGGGCCATGAATATAGATCAGCATTTATACTGAGTTGTGTTGAATTTTCTGCTATTACATATTGACAGTTTCCAACCATTGGCAATCATCAGTATAGAAATAACCAATTTTTTAAAAAAATTTTTTTAAAAATGTATTTAGTACAGGGTCTACAGGGTCTCACCATGTACATCAGACTCATAGTGATCCTCCTTTTTTCAGCCTTCCAAGCACTGGGATTATGGGCATGCGCCACCACGCCTAGTCTCGATTGCTGGCTCAGTGTGTCCTGGAGGCAGGGCCAGCACGTCAGGCCGGGAATCAAATCCCTGGTCCCTGCCTCTGCCTAAGCAGGTGCTTTAATCTGCTGAGCTATCTGGCCGGCCCTACCAATCTTAAGGTACATCCAGGGTAGAAATAATCACATCTATTGCAAGCTGGCCAACATGTCCAAAAGATACTGCTGGCAGTACCAGAGTGCAGAGTAACAGGTCAGGCACAACTGCCTCCCTGCAGAGCATGAACATGGTTTGGGGCAGAGGAGAGTGGCACAGGCAGGATGAGGACAAGGCCTTGGGGAGGACATCCAAGCCAGTGCCCTCAGTGGTCAAGTTTGGTCAGGTCAGGCGGGGTCCCTGAGAGGCCCTATGCAACTCCCATAGGCTGCCCACACATATGGCCTCCCATAGCAATGCCTTTTAATTTTTTTTTTTGTTTACATTAGTTTTTTGGGGGGTTTTTTTGGAACTAGAGATTGAACTCAGACCCTTGTGCTTGCCAGGGAAGCGCTTATTCTACTGAGCCATCTCCCTATACCTTTTTAAAATGTATTTAGTACAGGGTTTACGGAGTCTCACTGCACAGACAGGACTTGTAGTGATCCTCCTATATTTAGCCTCCCAAGCACTGGGATTACAGGTACATGCCACTGCGCCCAGTCTCAGTTGCTATCTCAGCATGCCTCAGGGGCAGGGCTGGCACTGCACAACAGGGATTGAACCCTGGTCCCTGCGCCTGCCTAAATAGGGACTTTAGTCTGCTAAGCAATGCCTTTTAAAAAGAAACATGGGGGGCCTGGCCCTAGCTCAGGCCTTTAAGTGGCTGCTTCCACAAAGCTGTCAGCCTCAGGTTGCTGGAGTTCGAACCTCACACCTCTCCTGCTGGCCAAAAGTGCCCTGAAGGCATTCGAGGAACAAAAAAAAAAAAAGAAACATGATACTCTAGAAAATATACATCATCCTTAGAGGCTTGTGAAATGAAAGTTTTTTTTTTAAATTTGTTTTTTGAGACAGAGTCTTGCTATGTATTCCAGGCTGGCTTCTAATTCAAAGTGAATGAAGCTCCTGCCTCAGCCTTCTAAGTGCTGGGTACTGCCACCAGGCCTAGGCTAAAAGCTGTTTATGATCAAAATGTTTATATTTACTAACTGGGTTAAAAGCTATATGCAGTGGTGTATACTTATAATCCCAGTGCTCTGGGAGCCTGAGGCAGAAGGTTCACAAGTTCAAGACCCATTTGGGCAACTTGGGGGGGGGTGGGGGGGTAGGAAGGGCAGATGGACAGGTCAAAGAGTGAGAAATACAGGAATGATTTTTGATAGTTCCATTATTCTAATGAGAAGGGCAAAAGCTAAAAACAGTAACAACCTAATTCTATTTTCCAGAATAAAATCCACTTACACAAAAAGCAAATCTAGAGTTATGATTTAATTAACCAGTAGGAGAATATCTGGCAGAAACTATTAGGGCTCAGAGAAAGTAAGTCCATGTTGTCAAGTGTGATTTTATTCTGATAATACAGAGGACAGGCTGGAGATCAAAACAGAACTTGAATGTATTGCTGCACATTTTCACAACATCAAGTTTGCTGAGATTGTGAAATCAGCTGAACAGGGCAGAAAAGCTATGGTGACACCATGTTCCCACTACTGTGGCTGAAACAAACAGCTTATTTCTAAATTTTGTTATTATGGCCAATAGTTGAAGAGTATGAAGCCCACTGGAATCCTGGAGGGGCTGAATTTCTTATAATAAGTGATACTTCTAGATGTAAAAGACACGGTCCTTTCAAGTTTCTCATATTCATGATTGTTTCTCCTGTTAAGTACCAGGCCAATGCTGACAATTTCATAAAGTACTTCTGTAGAGAAAGCATTGGTCTCTGAAAAAACTTAAGACAGGTTTTTTATTGCAGAGCTCACCTGTAGCCTTTAGCCTCGGTTTGGGCATTTTCTTTTCTTTTCGCTCAGGTTTGGATTTCTTAACCATCTTTTTGTTTTTCTTTTTTGAACTGCAATAGTCACTGTCATCATCATCTTCCATTAGGAAATCCTCATCACTGCCAGAATCTTCTGAGAGAAAAGAAAAATTTCAATGTCCAACCTAATGTACATACCTTTGTGAGTGCACAAAGGGAAAGACTGCTAACATGACTGCAGGAGGAGTGATACCAAGGAGTCAAACACTATGGGCTCTATTTGTAGCTGTGCTACCAATTTGGCCAAGGTGGCCACTGCGCTTTCTATAAAATGGGTTTGGCAAAGCCCCTCCCCTGAAGGCTACATGACTGATGGCTGAAGGGTTGGTTGAAAACAAGAGACTAAACCAAATCTGAATAAAAACTGAAACTATGTGATAATTTTTAGTAGGTTTTTTTTTTTTACTTCTGTGTAACACTGGTTCACAGCAGGAAAAAACTGAACTGAAACTGAACTTCTGATCCAATTTCAAATAAATGAAAGAACACTACCAAATATATATAACTAACACAAATAACCTCTGAAACATCTAAAATTTGAAATTATTATTTTTTTATGTAGGGAGAAAGAGATCTATATCCTCCTGTGACAGATTAAAACACAAATCTCAGTTATGACACTCTCCTAATACTTGATCATTCAGTGTTTGAACACAATCTTTAAAGAATACAACCACTATAAGTGGTGAGCAATCATGGGAATCTCTCAACATTTAAAAACACTGTTATGAACAGTCATGTCTCTTCAAAGGAAGTATCTACTTAATTTAAAGGAATAGATGAAACATTTAGCACTTAGAAAATACCAAAATAATTAAAATCCTAAGCTGCAATCACTAGCCAGCCTCACGTACTCTCCTGGAATGGTGCCTCGTCCTCTTCCTCTTGCTCCTCCTCACTACCCGCATCTTCCAGGAGCATCTCTCTCTGTTTAGAAGCTGCTTTAGAT